CTCTCTCTCTCTCTCTCTCTCTCTCTCTCTCTCTCTCTCTCTCTCTCTCTCTCTGTGTGTGTGTGTGTGTGTGTGTGTGTGTGTGTGTGTGTTCGCGTGCGCACACGTCCACCCTTTTGCCAGAGTACGCCGGCTTAACTTCTTTTCCTCTAAGAGGAACAGTGCTCCACTCCCAAAACCGACCCCACGCCCAACCTTTCTCGAGTAACCGACGCCGCTCCACCGCTGTATCTCTCGAGCTGGGGGCAACAGCCCATCGCGCTGCGCTTCGGGTGTGTTCTCACGATGGGCGAACAGCCGACAGAACGTGCGCTTCGCTCCTCCTGTGTGTCCAATCACCAAGTTCCATTCAAGGCCCGTTGTGCGGGACCGTTCACAAACCATGTCACTGCCAATTCGACCGAACACACCAGCGGCGGCAGAATTCGCGCTAACTTTTGCTCGTTCCCTCCCCACGCTCGAGGACGGCCTTCGCATCTCTTGACAGCGGCGGCCATACGGAGATTCAACGAAACGCTTAGCCACCACGGGTGAGACCTGCTGAAAGTCGGGTCTTTACCAACGGGCCTAGCTCACCCATGAACTGTTGAAATAAACACCGAAGTACGAACCCCAAAATCAATCAATCGGAGCTCCCAAAAATTAAAAATTACAAAAAATTGACGTAAATTTTTCGAAATGCCCCTGAAGTTTGCGTTAATTTGCTTTTTACCCCTCCGACGGCCGACTTACACTGATTTGCCCCTCTGACAACGATTCAAGTTTCCGAAAAAAAACTGGCGTCGTTTGGGCCTGAAATATGTTCAATATGCCCCTACTGGTAAAAGCCGTTGGGAACCGCCATCTCTCATGGTATGTTCTCGGCTGTAGATTACCCTCCTAGCTCCACAGCTTTCTCAGACAACACACAGACACAGAGAGAGAGAGAGAGAGAGAGAGAGAGAGAGAGAGAGAGAGAGAGAGAGATTTGGCAGCAGTACAAAGGAGCTGAAGGGGGAAGAGGAGAGGGAGGTGGAAGTAGACGAGGTGGCGGTGGCGGTAACTCCGACAGTTTGGATGATGTGGTTCGTTGGTCGTGGGGGGGCGTTTATGGGGCAAGCAAGCAATGACACGACTTTGTGCATGCATGCACACGTGTACACGGGTACACGTGCCGAGAGCGACAGAGGTGAGCACTGAGCAGTGCGGCAAGGCAAGCGCAACAGAGAAGGGCAATTTTCATCCCCCCATGACCGTGTTGAACGGGGCTGTGATAGTGACAATGGTGCCACACACACACACACACACACACACACACACACACACACAGGCGTGGAAGAAGGGGAGGAACACTCACCTTCGGCAACATACTCCGAGGACGTCCAAGGCGGCGACAGGTCGCAGTAGCAGAAGAATGAACTCCACGGTGGATTGCAGCAGTGGACAGAACGTGGAGTGGAGTGTTGTTTTTCCGCGCGGCGGCGGCCTGGAAAGAAAGGAGTTTGAATTTTAATTCTTAGGGCCTCTCCGTTGGAGGGCATCCCAGGAAGATGCATCCATCGCAAAGGGCAAATCGAACAGCCACCACGGGAAATGGGACCGGTGGTCCGGTAAGGGCATTCCCAAAAGTTGCGCCTCTCACTGACAGGGGTCTGCCTGAAAGTTCAGAGGCCCCAGGGGCAAATCATGGTAAGTCGGCCGTCGGAGGGGCAAAACGCAAATAAACGCAAACTTCTGGGGCATTTCGAAAATTTTTCCAAAAATCAATCGGAGGAACATAACAAAATATAAGTCCTCTCACTCAATTGGTGCACCTATGAATGTTTGAAATACGACCATCAGCTCGAATCCTATGAATGTTTGAAATACAGCCATCAGAGTGAATTTCTGGATTACCTGGGGCACTTAGCAATAAGGGGCTCTCCACACCACTGTCGAAAGGCTAAAAATTGACTTACCGTGAGGGCACGGGTGCGCAACCCCTAGTTTGTATATGCTTGATTGATAAAGGAGGCGTTATTGAAAGGTTTAGAAGTATGCACTTGCAAATGCAATGCAGGCGTGGCGTTTCAACCTGCAGCCAAGGCCGCGCCCTTTCCGATTTCAGACTTTTCCACTTTTCCACCCTGCCGCTACTTTGCCACCGTTTCGACCAAAACCCAGCGCGCGGTCCCACGGTCAGCTACCGGTCCCTCATTTTTCAAAGAAACTGCCACCCCCCCCCTAAGTATCGTGCCTGCACCTGCCCACATTTTTCGAACTTTCCAACGACCAAACGAGCCCAAATCAACAACCGGTATAACGAAGGACGACAAAAATGTTCGCAGCCCGTCAACGGTGCGTTTATGCCCCTGATAACATTTTTCGTCGTCGTTCGTTATATGGTCGTTAGAAGGCTGGAAAAACAAGGAATGGCAGTTTAGGGGGTGGTGGCATCTTATTTGAAACTGCAGGACCGGTAGCTGCCCGTGGGACCGCACGGGTTTTGGTACAGGACTGCGTAGGACCGGTAACTGCAGGTCTCTCTTTCTCTCTCTCTCTCTCTCTCTCTCTCTCTCTCTCTCTCTCTCTCTCTCACACACACACACACACACACACACTCTCCTGTCTCTTATACACATCTAGATGTGTATAAGAGACAGCGCACACACAGAGGCGAACCAGTGCGCACGCACGC